TTAGCGTATTTTTTTCAAATATGGTGTTTATTATTTGCTGGTTAACCATGATCATTCTCAGTTAAAGGGGGGTGGAGCCGTTTGGCATAAGCCACTCATGACTAACTTCAACAATTCATGCGTTCTTTTCGAGCTGGCACTTCGTTTTAAATTTTTCAGTAGATATCCGAAATCGACGGTGACATTTTACTAGAGGGCTGGGCTCTACCGATATATTTCCAAAGGTAGCAGTAGTACGGCTACTGTAGCGGCCGAAGACGTTGGTGTTGGCACACACCTAAAGGAATAGATCACCTGTTCAGATATCCGGATGTAACATCGAATGGGGTTGTTAGTCGCCGCAAGCGCACATACGCATATAGATGTAAAAGAATAACGAGATAGTTACAAATAAAGTCTCTTACGATAAAAGAATTGGTAAATAGTATAAAGGGGAGGATACGATACGAAAGGTTACCAAGGCACTGAACAATCGATCCGTTTTGAGTGATAGGTGGTTGCAGAATACCAGTTAGATACCGGTGGGGAGCGCAGCACTGTTGACAACTGCGGATGAAGACCGTGGAGGTACTGCCGGTCAGGAGATATCGATGTGGTAACGGGGGGAGCGGTGTCAGCAGGGGAAATGGGAAGGAACAGGGGCGTCTTCACCAACGGAAGATCACACCATCTTCATCCGGATCCGCGCACGAAGTTACCTTGGTTTTCTTGTATGTACACTGCTAATTGAAAATAAACTTAAACAAGGCAATTAGGGGAGGGCACTATTAACATAATACTTGGAGACATGCACGTTTTCGTTGGGTAATTGTACTGCCACAGGATTGATTTAGATGGCTTTCAGAGAGTGTCTGCACATGAAGTTGAATGGAACAGAAGTTTTTGGCCAAGGTATTTTGTAATAAAGTGCAATACTCTGCTCAAACTCGCATTGATGATGCACTCGGTCCACTCCGCGAAGCAGCTCCAATGTAGTCGTAGTTGGTACCCTTTATAGGGTAGTATGGACGACGACCATAGTAGACATGAGCAATCGTAGGCAAAGAAAGTTTGCTGACGGAAAAATCCTGTTCGTAACCTGGTGTGCGTCCAGGGCGATTAAGAGTGCAAAAAATGAATAAAGAAAATAGGAAAAGTGGGCCGCCAACAATTGCCACCAGGATGCCTGCAACCCAGATGTCTTCCCTGACCCTTGCGATTCCTAGAGCGATCATGAGTGAACTCAGCAGTATGAGGCAGGCACCTAATACCATTAGTGGGATGTGGAGACG